CCTCAGTCCCAACAGTGGCTGTGGACCCTGACACAAATCCTACTAGTAGCGTTCTTGTTACTACTAGTAAGGCACTTGTTACTAGTAGCGATGCACTTGTTCCTAGTAGCTTGTTACTAGTCCATTTTTTGGGGAAATCGTATGGAGGAATGATATCGATCTTCGAGAGAAATGGAATGGCTGCGGATGCCGATCCCTAGCGCCCCCCTACAGGATTGAGAATGAGGGATTTTGAGCTTCAAAGGGATTGAAAACAAGAAAGTTAACAACGTCTCTTTGGAACTATCGGTGGCTAATAAAACTCAACAAACTCAATGAAAAAGAGAAGATTGTCGCATTGATCTCTCAAAAGGCTTATGCCTACAATGCGACCGTAAACTTAAACCGCGGAATAAGCCACACACACACACACATAAATAGAACATAATGGAACGCATTCCCAAGCCCAAGCAGCACGTCCCCACATCCACTCTCACCAGCACCAACATACTCTGACTCAACAATACTCACAGTCAGGTGCGGGGGGAACCCCAACAGGGTCCAGTGGTAAGCCCGTGATAAATCATGCTCCCGTTGACCCGCAATCTTGCAACTTGATCATCTGAAGAGCTAAGTCGATTCCTCCAATCCCATGGAAGCTAAGTTGTTTCGTTTTCTTCTTCCTACAGCCGTCAAGCGGCACCATCGTTGTCTCGACGGAACCATCGTGCGTCTCTGCATCGGGCGCTGAACCGGTGAACCGGGCGGTCATTCCGAGGTGCAGAACCGGTCCAGTGAAGTAGAGCAACGGCGCCCAGGAGAAGAGGCTGCCCAGTCCTAAGATTCGGAACAATGGGCATCGCTACTAGGGGCTCCTGGCCATACTACTAGTAACAAGAAGCTACTAGGAGCAAATGGTGTTCTTGGCGGTCTTGGCGTCCAAAAGTGACGAGACCCAGAAACACAATGCATGGCCAACTGGGTGGTTCCAAGCCATGGCTAGGTGAAGGTGAATACCGTATCAACTGTTCAAAAGACAAAGGCCATGTTTGATACTAGACCATTCAAAGGTTTCTCAGCATTGAAATGCAGCTCTGCTGCTGTTCATGCACTGTAGGTACCTTGCAACTACTCTCTATACCTGGCCTTGGGTCTTGCTGGGTTGCTCGTAGGGTCTGGATATGGCAAATCTAGGTGGCGGGCTCAAAAAAACGATGGAAGTTGCTCAATTATCTCAATTGGCTCTCTCCCTCTCTCTCTCTCATCTTCATCCATCTTGCTGTGGATCCATGTGTCATCCACCTCACTGACCTAGTAAGGGATGCCATCTGGGTTCTCGCACCGCCGCGCCATGAAGCCTCAGTCTGTGTGCTTCATAGTGCTGAAAACCGAGGAAGCTGAGGTTCATTTGAATCATCCAATCCTGAATGAACAAACACGTCCAGAAGCTACTAGGAGCCAAGAAGCTACTAGTAACAAGGGCATGACTACTGGTAGCAAGAAGCTACTGTAACAAGGGCATCGCTGCTAGGAGCAAGAATACTAGTAGCAAGGTGCATTGCTACTAGTAACAAGGGAGTCTATCAAAGTCCTTAAGTTCAAATACAATATACATATATATATATATATCAATTCCAACGGCCACCTGTTCTAACCTATTGTTTCTGCCGGACCTCTGTGACCTTAGTTTCTGACCGAAGAAGGAAGCGACAAGAGACCATTCCTCTCTTTTGACAATGCTCAAAGAGTTTGACAGGTACCCTGTGGTTCCTTTGAGAAATTATTGCTTGTCCACTTCTTCCAAACATGTGTAATTATGGTGTAGACAGTGTAGACACTATAAACTTTCTGAACCTTTGCTCGACTTCGGAATGGAAGGAGGGCGATGGCACCACTGCACCAGCAACCCGCACGGCCCTAACCCCACTTGGTGCCCACACCAAAGCCCAAAGCACCAAAACTAGGTGCACAGTGCGCTGAGAAGCAAAGCGCAGGAATCGCTTGGCACAGATCTCCTCATTGTCGGATTGGGCAGGGTTTTCAAAAACATGTTTGGTTGGCGCGATCTTTGTAGACATGGTGTTGTAAAGCAGGTCTAGAGTCTAGCACTAAATAACACTGAGATTTCGGAAAAACGAAAAAACTCCGATTGATCTTTAAGTAAAGCTCCACTCCTGCTGCGTTTGTAAGCGTGAGTGCCTGATCCAAGGAGGCGTCGCTTTGGCCTGTCTAGCGAGCCAATTGTCAAACAACAGCATCTCAACACAGGTATTTTGTTTGCCCCCTAACCCGAATTGATGAGCTTGAACAAATGGACTTCAGAGCAACAATCTGGGAGCTCCCTACCGCAGCCTGCATGTTTCTCCTAGGAAGGGTTTGGTCGTAGGAAGGCGTTGTCGATTGTCAGATTCCCGCTGTTTTTCACAGGTGTGGTGTGGGCGAAGACTGCAGCGACTTAGAATTCCCGTGAGTCGCAGATTTCAATCGACCGGAGACGACCAGAGGCGACCGGAGCTCCGAGGAACACTTACACACACGGTACGAGATGGTACGAGTAGCTCGTGGTCCTGCTGCTGATGGATTAAACATTCGTCTAGAATCGTCTAAATGCCCTTCCAAGCAAATATACCGATTGAGTGTCAAAATTCTGCTCAGTTTCGCAATTCAGCAATGATGGCCATTTGGCCATATTTGGCTCAGATTCAGTTTTGGATGATGATAATGTTAGCCCAGTTCTAGTACTTTGAATTGGAGATGATCCCTGACCCACTGAGAAACACAAGCCTCTCCAAAATGCCATGGCAAATCCATCGAAATGGAGAAATCAAGGGATAACGAGCCCAAAAGAATGTTGAGGGGCTTCAGGGAAAGACTCGAAAGACGAAAGGATATGAACGGATGATTCTCAACCTGGGCCACAGGCCCACATCAAGAGTAATTAAACCCTTTGCTCCGATTTCTGTGCATGTTGGTCTCTCGTGGTTCAAAGGCATGCTCTGCTTTGAGGAAAATTACTGAGGTTACAAGGTGTTTTGTGGCCGTGAGCTCGTTCAGCAACAATCTGTGTGCAAACCTATACAGCACAAACATGATAATAGGAGCATGGACGCTACTAGGGGCTCCTGGCCTTACTACTAGGAGCAAGGACGCTACTAGGGGCTCCTGGCCTTACTACTATCTTGTAAGATCATTGGCTGCTAGCATGATGCCCAGGTGAAATGCAGTTGAACTCACATCGGTTCGACGGTGACCTGGAGCCCAACGGACGGTAGAACATGCGGATCATGCGTCTCACACAACACATATGAAGCACACCAAGCTTCGTCCAAACTCACATAGGTAGTGCACCACACCTAGGTTGTCTATATTATAGTATTATATATTTACTATGAGCTATGCAAACTTTAATTTGCATGGTGGGTGCGTTCCCAGTAGCAACTTGAGTTTCAGTGAAGCTCTGGAAAACAAGACAGGTGGAACTTCGTATAAGTGGCAGTGCTCAGAGTTTTGCAGACGAGACATAAGCATCCACGGCACGCGCACTGCTCCGTGGGGTCTCACGCTTGCATCTCTGCCATCAGTTTGCGAATGCGTCGGAGCTACAAACCATGCTTTGGGCCATGTGTGCATTTAACAAAAAAACTTGGAACATCGACATTGCATCGATCTTGTGCTGGAACACCAGGAGTTGTGTTCGAACGTGTCTTGCAAGCAAGGAACATTGAGTTCAGGATTTCGATGGATTTCGGCTGTTTGTGTTCTGACGCACCAAATCAAGGCAGCCTGCACTGCCTGCACAGTCATGCACAGTTCTGAATGGATGTACAGTTGAAGGCTGCACAGTTCATTTAGGTTACCCAGAGCTGACCGAGGGATAAGGAAACTGTGCAGTTCGATGAAGCACCCATGAGTCGTCTCACAAAATAACTAAGCCCCCTCTTCCCTGTGCATGGCGGCCAAAGCAGCACGTCCGGCTCATGCCACATCAAATTGCGAAATCCTGAGCCATCATGGTTTTGTACATACACCAGCGATACTTTCCTTTCCCCTGACCTAGCAGCAGCATCCTCCAATGAATGCAAAGATCCGCAACTGCGTCACACTGTCATACCGTCATACCCCAGTCAATCCTGTTGATTCTGATCATTGAGCATCAACAAGTTTCATACAATGCCTGAGAAGATTATCGTGCTGGACAGAGTTTGATCATGCTGGTTCTTTCCCTATACGGAGACTTCTCAAAGCGTCAGATCCTTCCGACCCACTGAGTGTCCCACTGGAAGGAAACCTCACAACGCCGCGCTGCTAGCCGCGCCTGGGCTTGTCAAGTATTTGGGGTCCTTGGATAGGCATGACAGGGGTACAAATGATGCATACTGCATACATCTGCATACAAATGTATACTCGAGCAAAACTCATCCATCGGCCCAGTTAACCACCTTTTTAAGGTGGATGGTTTGATGATCTCATCTTCCACCAGTGCTTGGGTTCCCAGACTGAGACTTCGTTCCTTGGCACAGCTCATCACCTCACAGCATTCACAGACCTCTCCTCGATCCATCTTGATCCGACTCCCAGGCCACCCCAAGGAGGCTTTCTTGAGGCGCGCTTCTATGCTGAGCATGTCACATGGGACACGGCAATTGCCCTCCATGTTCCAAAGCTGTCTACATTCAAATCAACCCGTCCTCATCATGCCTTGTGAAAAATGATCACAGTTCATCGTCTTCCCTAGAGTCTTCCCTGGGTAGTCATGTCTGCTCAGATTGAACATGTTCACAGGAGGTGACTCTATTACCACCTTCTACGTCTGCAATTCACTCAGGTTCGCCAAGTTCCTACCCGCGGCATCCCGCAGCACCGCGCCTTCGGTGAAACTGGCACATCACGGCATGTTGAAAAGAGTGTGGGTGATTCCTACTCATACTGCTTTCAAGCATGATTCTGTTGTAGTGATTGGTTGCAGGCCCTGCGTGGTGATGCTAGTAACTAGGTACAAGCTGGTACTGTAATATCTTGCTGGCTTCATCTTCCTAGTTTTGCTTGTGTGCACTGGAAAGTTGACATCACCACTGCCACCGGATCCATCGACTGCCACCTGCGGGCGTGGCACAGAACCACTGCCACATGGCGCTTCAAAAGGATGAACCGATGACCCTGGGCAGTTCAAAAACAAATGATGGCATTGGCCCCTGTGAGGGGGACATCGGATGGAAAGTAAGATGAAGCCATGTTTTCTATACCATCTGGACAACGAAACAACATCAGCTTCAGCTATTGAGCAAAACCATCATCAGCTTCCGCAAGCCCTAATTGCCAGGAATTTGGCCTGTTCCTTCAACAAAGGGCAAATTCATTGGCAGCAGGCTGCCTGGCAGAATCATCAATACTACGATAAGTCGTGAGACCTTTTAACCAGAGATTATTCACAGTCAACCACGCGCAAATCTCTTCTGACAAAGTTCATCAACAAATCTAACAGCAAAATGAAGCTACAGGTTATCTCTGAAAGTCGCACAATCCAAAGTGGTGGCTTCTTTGATTGCCTCCCCCAGCTGTAAGAGCAAAACTGGCCTTCATGCCGCTTTCTTCAAAGACCTCAAGAACATAAGTCCAGTCCAACAAACATCGTCAGGATCCCCTCCCACCTGGCATGTCCTAGGGCCGTCCCATCGTCACTCCCTCTCAGCTCATGGCTGTCTCTGTGCTTCCTGCACAAGCGCCTGAGGCAGTGTCGAACAACAAGCGCGTTCGATGCGGATATCTGTAATTCAATGCGAAGGACGCCAGAAACAGATCTAACACATGTTCGGCTCATGGCTTTGGTGAATGATGCCTGGATGATGAAGGATGGCATGAGGATGGCATGACCAATGGACGAACCTTGAAGACTCGTTTGGATGAGTCTTGAATGTTGGATGATCACGATCGTAATGACTACTCATCGAATCACAAGGACAAGCAGGAGGGGGAGGAGGGGGAGGAGGAACATTAGCGACGAGTGAAGGGATTGGATGACAATGATTAAGCCAAAGTTGCCGAACCATCAGAATCACAGGGATCCTGACCTCGAAAGAATCCATATTTGTCGCTTCCTAGTCATGGCCCACCAAGCTTGACAAACACACTTATGTGGTCAGTGGTCAGTACATTCAGGAGTGGCGACGTGGCAATCGATTCAGCGACGCCTTGGCCACCTTTTCAAGCTTGGCAGCAGCTTTGTCCAGGCCTTTTTTGAGTGCAGGACCAAGGCTCGCCAGGCTCATACGTTTGTGGTCAAGACGTGTGAAAGGCACCATGCCAAATCGTCAACAATGTCCGATATCACCCCACTTTAAATGTGATTTAAACCTGAGGATCCGCATTCCGAGTTGATGAAGGCCACTAATTGCATGAGATGCTCTCACAAGAGAGAGAGAGAGAGAGTGTGTGTGTGTGTGTGCGCGTGTGCGTGCATGTTTTTCTAAATTCTACATATGGAAACTATATGAAACTATGGCATTTCAACACAAACCTTGTGTGCTTGGGGATGAAACAACATTTTTGAACTACCACGCAACCAAAAGTGACGCCTGGCTTACTCAGTCAGATTCCATCAGCCTACCAGTCACTTTCCGGGTGCTGCCGACGGCGAATGCGCTGTTCCATGGCTTTCTTGGGATCATCCTTCGCCTGGAGGGCACGGTGAAAGAGGCTTTCAAGCCTCTTTGTGTTGAAGAACCCATCAACCAAAGAACAGTCTTGACGCCTATTCTGCCTGTTGACCTTCCCATGGGAAAAAAATTCATGGGTGGCCGTGAAGGTCCACATGATTCTCCCTGAAAATCGTTGTGGCCTTGTTCCTCCGGGTGGCCAATGGTCTGGAGTCGGCCAAGGCTGGACTCTCATCACCCTCCAGTGGCGGACCTGGAAGCATTTGTTGCAAAGCATCGCAGATTTGCCCCCCCAAAAAAGAACGGAGCCAAATGCAAGTGACTTGGTACCTCCATCCCTTGAAAATAGGAATAAATGATTGAATTGTAACTATATAGGCGACATTTGGTGCTTGGATCATGACTTAATGATGATTACTTAATGCACCTTCGGGCTTTTGTCACTTCACTGCATCGTGAAGCATGGATTGTTGAGCTTGGATCCCTGTGAGCCTCCAATACTACTGGGCACGGAACTTGCGTTGCTATTTTGGAGATGAGATTGGCTCTCTTGGACTTGCTTCTTCCTTGTGTTTGGTTCGCGTTCTTGCAAGGGCTCTGCTTCAAATGAGTTTTGGCTTCTACTTTTTTGTCCGCTATTGTCAAGCTCTAGACTGTTCCCCACGGAGAATATCCGAAAATAGTAAAGTCTGGGCCAAGGGTCTCGAGACAAATGCCGGGTCCCAGGCACTGGAGTCAAATACATTGCTTCACCAAAGGCAAGGCTTCTTGCAACGATGTTTCACTAATTGGGCACTTCCATGCGGATGTTTACAGCATTTGATCAAACCTCTAAACAAAAGCTTCCACCAGTTGTTACAGGTTGTTATGTCACCGACTCTCCGACTCCAAAGATTGGCGTCACCAACCTCTGGAGCGTGCACGGCGTGAACGAGGAGATGCTGACTCATATCCACCTGAGCCGTACCGGCCTTGTTCACTGAATCTGACTGATCGGCTTGTCAAACCGATCAAAGGCCACTTTCTGGAACTGGCCTTCTTTTTTCTACTAGTAGCAAGGACGCTATTAGGTGGAGGCCATGACCATTAGGTTGGAGGCCATCGCTGCCGCTACTAGTAGCAAGAAGCACTTAAATTGAATCTTGCTTTATGGTCGCTTCCTAGCACGACTTCACACGCCGATTTCTTTGGGATATTCTATGATGTGCCCATACAACCTATCCACACCGATGGCCACACCTGAAGGGCGAGGAGTCACCTTGGGCACAGCTGCACAGTTCATCTGTACATTTGGAGTGGCAGGTGATGGCGTCCAGAAATTGAGAAGAAAGAGTCTAAGCATCCTCCCACTCCACGATCTGTAAGTGGCAGTCTTCCACTGCATCAAGAGTCATCAAGAGTCATAGGCCATGGCAACCATAGGAAATGCAAATCCAACTTCAGATGGTTGTGCGCCCCATGTTTGAATCCCAGAAGGACTGAATGACACCAAGAGATTGTGGTGATCTTGCTTTGAAGATCCTTGAAGTATAGTGAACATGAGTGAGCAAACCAATGATTCAATTGATTCCACAAGAAATTTGCCAACAGCTCCACTCTATTCCACACTCAATGCACCCAGCTGGGCCCCAGCTGTTCTCATTCGCCTCTCATCTCACGAGTACCGACGTTCGTGACGACTTGGCCAGCTACGACTCGGCGTCCGAGGATGGCCGTGTGCCTCGGAGACGGGATGGCCGTGGCGCGCGCACGACGGGGGTTGGTCCACGGATCCCTCTTGGTCAAATTGGCATGCCAAGAACCAAAAAAGAAAACAAAATAGGAAACAACTGTTGAGCATGTGTTAAGGTGTAGAATATTGTCCTAAAATTCATGTTCCTTCACCTTCCTTTATTGCAGCTTTAAGCTTTGAATCCCTTTGCAAAAATGTGTCGTCCCCTCAGGTCTCCTAGCTCATAGGCATCAAGGGCTTGAACGATCTCATTCCGCGGGTCATGTCTCTGTGGTGCTGGCGAATGCCTGGCGCGGTCGACTGCCGACTGAGGCGGTCGACTGTGACAAGGGCAACGCGGTCGGACGCCGCCTGCGACTTGGCACCACGTCCAAGGAGAAGTCGAGGAAAGGCTTGCCCAGCTCCTCAAATGCCAGGTTTAAAAGCCGGGCAGCACCTCCACTGTTAAAAACCAACTTCACTGAAATGACCTGGATGTCGGATTTCTCATGATTTCTTGGTCGAACCTTTACAAGTACGTGTCACACCTGTCTGAATGTCTTGGGTACTGCACCAGTGCAGGTGAAATGGAGTGAAAACGATCAACATACCCAGCCTTTCCAACCCAAAACAAGAACCCCGCCTGTAGAGATCGCAACCTCTCAAACCTCGGTCTATTTAAAAGCAACTTCACTCAGTCAAGGGTTGTCAACAGTAACCGTGACATCGCCTTGTATACAGACTAGTAAGCGGAGTTTGCACTTCTCATCTCTGTGGAAGCTAGATCTCTAGAAAGCTGTAGCAACAAACCGTATCCAGAAAATGCATCCTTCTGACCTCAAATGGGCAAAGCAGCTACAAACGAACTTAGCCACATGAGACCAGCTTAATTTTCAGGTCATCATCTCAGCTTCAAGCTTTGTCCCAGGGGTTGTGGGCGAAGGGCTACGAGCTCCTCAGGACAATGGTCATGTGTGTGTGTGTGTGCTTGTGTGCGACTAAGTCATATCTTGGACAATGCTTAGGCGACAGCTGCAGCTATGAGAGTAACAGGAAACCAGGCTCCCAAAATCGGGGGTCTGGAGAATCTAATTATTGTCAAGAATCTTCAGAGACAAATGCTTGACATTTAGAATATTCCGTCGCGGCCACATCAATGGCCTGATGGCCTGGTCATGTGATCCAAGTTCTCCTGGACCGGTTGATGCCCCAGGATTTGTCACCGCTTGTGTCCACCCCACAGTCCCGCTCCCCCTGTGCCAAATCCACCCGCCTCGATGAAAGCCTCTACCCGGCTCCAAGTCAATGTTCATGCAGCGCCTGCCAGCTGCGCGCTTTACTGGGAGGGTCGCCAGGCTCCACTTGACCAGTTGCTGATGTTCATTCGGATGAAAACATCCGCATCTGAATGACACTCAAAACCCTGGAACAAATACACTCTCTGGAGATCACCTGGATGGTTATGGTAGCTATGGTTTGGCCTTCGAAAGCCAGTCTGGGATAACGTTTCAGGTTATGTCGACCTGCAGGCGTCTGGTTTGAATTTCAACTGTGCAGAATTCCCCCTTCCCTCTCCTCCCTGCAGTCCCACATGTGCCTATCTGTGTATCCACGAGGCGAACCAAACTGGGCGACGCGCGGCCCGCAGAGGTGTTTTCCGTTTCTGTGCCAGCAAGCTGAGTTTCTTTGTAATGCAATGCTTTCCACCACATCTGCAACTGCTGCGGAAGTGTCTGCGATCAACATATCAGATGAGTCTGGTGATGCTTCGAAGACTGTCCTGAAACTGTACAATCCGGCTATTCAGCTATTCTACTGAAACCATCCACTGTCTGCACAGCTGTGATTGTTCAGAGCTCTAGGGCGCCAACCACATTGTCATAGACGGACCTCGCTGTTTTGACACATGGCAGAGGCAGGTCTTTGCCAAGGCTTGCCCAACATTTGGGCATTGGTCAAGCCACTTGTGGATGGATTACTTGGTGCCCGAAGACCACGATGGACAGAGATGAGCTCAAGCAGCTCACGATTTGCCCCACTTCAAGTGAAGTCCCTGTCCAAACAGCCTGCTGTCGCAACTGCGCCCCTGCCCAAACCTTCTTTCCCTTCTTGTACCCACCAAAGGCAACCAAACGAGCCAGAACGACTCATTCAAACCGATCGCGAAGCCAGCCGCGTAGTGTCCCGGAGTGCGGGGTGACGTGTCGCCTGATGAGGCGTGCGGCGGCCATGGCGGCCGTCGCTCCATAAGTGACACATGGAAGTGATGAAAGGTTTCGATTTGAAAAGCATATTCAGAACCATTCAGGTACATTGGTAGAAAAAACCCTTGTGACATTCCTCAAACGTGCCGTTGGTCAAATCCATTCGCCCACTGAAGATCTGAGCTCACTGCCCAGTGCCATGCTGCACCTTGGAGCTCGCTGGAGCATCACCAGCTGTTCGCAATGAAAAGGCTTCTGTCAATCAATCCTTTTAGATCTGATTGATCAATCCTCAAGTTTGCTGGTGTTGGCATTCAATGACGTCACACCAGTGTGAGAGTTGATTCGATAAGTGAAGTAATGCTTGTGAGGTTGACAACAAACGTGAGGAAGAAGCAGAAGAAGCAGAAGCAGAAGACAACAACGCCAACGATTACAGTGATGAAAACACAGTTGACGACAAGCCTGAACACTTAAAATTGACCTTGAATGAAGAGGATCGGGAGTGATGCGTACTGTACACGATGCGAAAACTGTCATCAATCAGAAAGAAAGAAAGAAAGAAAGAAAGAAAGCAAGAAAGCAAGCAAGCAGGCAACTATCTTTTTCTCTGAGGCCTCAACAGCTCAGCAAGCTTTCGACCGGAGGATGCAGGTGGCCCGGTGCCGTTCTGGAAGCCAAAGGTGCGATGTGGCAACTGCGGGCTGTAAACCACAAATGACAGAAACCTCCAATCTTCACGGAGTTCTAGCTACCAACTTGGTTCTGAGTCATAGAGAACACATGGAAGGACTGAAAGTGAGAGCTCCCTGTCGCAGAACCAAACTTTTGTCGACTTGGACATTTGGACCTCTAATAGGAGCAAGGACGCTACTAGTAGCTCCTGGCAGTACTGCTAGGAGCAAGAAGCTACTAGTAAGAAAGGCATCGGCATCGCTACTAGGAGCAATCATGTCTACACCACAAGGTTTATTGTCACACTGGCTTCTGGTATGCTTCGTTTCGTGGCCCCTTTTGCATTCTTGTGGCAGCCGCATCTCAGGCGACTCGTCGTTCTCAAGCTCTTCTGCCAAAAAGTCTGCGGCGCGTCACACCAGCACACTTGGGATACTCCGCCGCGTGTTGATTACCAGGAACCTCGCTACGCTGTGCGCGGCTTCGAACGCCGCGGCCACGCGCGTCTGATGGATTTGGGAGAACGTGATTTGCACAGATTGGTTGGAAAATGACAGGTGATCAACTCCGACCAAAATACCCAAATCATCTCTTGGAACAATTGGAATGGTTTTTTCATCTCGCTTTCTCTGCCGAGCGTCCGCAGAGCCGTTGCACCACGCTCCCAAGAAGGCTTTTCCTTGGAGGAGGTGGAGGTAACTCCAGTTCCGCTGGCTCCTGTCAGCAAAAGAGAAACATTGATGAGAAAAAGACATGCAATTTAGAGTGCCGGTTCAGTTTTTTGTCCAGCCTCGTCTAAAGGCTTGACATCGGCATCCACCGAAAGGTTCACTTCAACCTCTAAGCCATCGTAACCTCGCCGCGGCCCATGGCCCATAGCCCATGAACGTGCATCCCTGTGAGGGTCCCGGGCCAATGATCAATCATCCGAGAACCGAGGCGGCCGAATTCATGGGAAAGCACAGGTTCGAGAGACTAAAGCCTACAGTATGTTGTATAGAGTCCTGAAGACAACTGGAAATACACAAAGATCTTGGCTGCCTATGGTTGCCGACAGGAAACTGGTAGCAGGCAGGACTACCAAACGTAGAGGTACACTATGAAACCCGCTGAAAACTCCACCTGTGTGCTTCATTTACAAAACATCTCTAACTATTCGAAATAGAATTGGCAACACAACATCCTGCGTTCTGGCATCCCATTTGCAATTGTCTGTGTTGGTCGGCTACGCATCTTGAGTGCTTGAACTATGGTGGCATCTGCAAAGGTTTTGATGTGGCTCCCATTGAAGGCAAGCAGTACACGAAGTAGCCACATGTTGCACCATTCCATCCTCCCCATCACTGCTCTGAGGGGCTCAATTCCACATGGAGACCTTCAGATTGAAGTTTAAAAAGCTGCTGATTGTCGTGAAAGTGATCAAATTGACAAGACCTCGGCGGCAGGCGCACGGCTGGGCATGGCTTGGCATCGCGCAAGCGACGTCCAGCCTGATTCCATCAGGGAGTCCTTCTCTCAAGTACTTCGGCTTGAACCCCAGCCCGGGTTACCACGTACACCCGCAAATCCATGGGAGGTTCAACTAATCTAGAGCAAAGGGTGAGTTCTTGAGGAAAAGAATCCACCTTGGGAAGCAGCTTCAGAATGACGGGAGAGGATGTATGAAGACTCTTAGGAATAGCTCAAACAGAAACAGTCTTGTGGCCTGTCCTTGCTGGTCCATAAATGGCCTGCTTGAGACATCCCAAGGAGAGTTCAATTTCTGGGCCTAAAGCCCAAGCTTATGCAACTACTGTAGGTTCTGGAGACAGCAAGTGATTCGTTTCTTGCTGCAAGTGACTGGACATATCACTTCAGAAGTCGCTCGGGTAGAAAACAAGTCGAATCAAGAGGCACTGCTGTCATAAAAAAGGACCGCGCACAAACTTTAGCAACCGGGGCTGACCCAAACCCAACTCTTGTGCTCGTCATTTCAGTCGATGGTATACTTTCTTGCAACAAGCTCTGTGCAAGCCATAACCCGTCCTTTCATACTACTCGGGCCTAGGCTCACGCAAATGTTTGGATGCACTATTATTGAATTGAAGTGTCTCAAGGGGTTTGGTGGACACCGATCAACATTTGAAACTGATGAGGAGTAGCTCTAAGGGTCACACTTGTCCATTCATCGAGGGTCTCAGCCCAACATGAATCGAGTGGTCGATTGAGCTGTGAACTCAGGTCCCTTCCTCTCCGTCTCCATTTCCCAGTGGCATGCCGATGAGATAGGCCCGTTGGGGGCGCAGCTCTCGGATCTCAGAAGGGCCGGCAGGGCTGTTGACGACTGGTCTACAGCTGCGACTCTAGTGACTCTAGACATGATGGTAAGCAGACTATAAATGATGATAGCAAATGATAGCAGCATATATATCATGCAACTATCTACAACAATTTGTTGCAGTGAGTGGAGTCATGCCCTTCAAGTCTGGAACGTCGTGTCAACATGTCATGCTACATTCAATGATCGACATCAACCTCATGATCAAACCAGTCACAAAGCGTCACGGAGTCTCTGAACAAACAGATCACCAAGCACCCCTGCCAAATCTAAGGCTTGTGGGAGACCAAAGTGCGAATAGTTGGGTCCTCTCATACAAATTGACGGTCACTGAATGCCCAACATGAGGCCTGAGAGCAGGCAACAGGTGCATATTTCTCTGAACACTATGAGAGGCAACTGCTTTGGACATCTGTTTGAATGGTGGACGTGTTGACGTGTTCTGCTACGACTGGAGTTTAAAGACATCTGCACAATGTTCTGAAGCGGCACAGCCATCGGGTGCGTACACACAAGATTGGTTGGTCGATTTGTTGGTCGATTGTGTCAACCATCCGGGTGCTGACCGAATGTGTTTGGAGAACACATCTTCGCGGACTCCTGTTTTGAGCAGGGCATCCACCACCAAGACCTCTGGACATCCGTGGCCACACGGTGCACGAGTAGGCCCTAACTTGGGCAGCTTGTTCAATCTTTTTGAACCGAGACAAGTCAGTGACACTCCCATGAATAAGTAAACTATAGTAACCTGTATTGTTCAACATCAAGGCAAACATCGTCAAAGACACTAATGGCATTCAAGGTCACAGAATATGTTTGGCTGGTTTTCGACGATGAAGAATGGACCAGTATGACCAGTACTGCTTGCGCCTTGAAAGAACTAGCTGAGCATGTGACCCAGAATCTCTGGTGCTAGTAGGGTATTTCATGATGTCATCTGGTATCATCTAATCACTGAAGCAAAGCCACTAAAGTACAGTATATAATATGTTCTGGAAAGGCAGCCTTTGCCAATCCCACCCATGTCTTTCACGATGTTAGGTTCTTCGGCTTTGTAAACAGAATTGTCCCACGTGAATCGCTTTGTTTTGCTTTAGTGAAACGACTGCTTGTCCAGTACAGCAGCTTGTCCAGCCTCTGCACGGGTGGATTTGAGGATCTTCATGGTGTCGTCAGGAACTTTGCTGACGTCCTCGGTCCGCGGATTTTCGGATCAGACTGGCGACACTACGCGTCCTGTCCTTCTTGGGATCCAACATGATTCTCTTACCTGTTTCATCCATCGCTACGCTTGGTTGGAGGCCATCGCTTGGTTGGCAGCCATGTGTAAACTCTGAAAAGCACCCATGAGCCCGGAATGCTAACCAGTGCAGCTGAGTCGCTGAGAGATATACAAATTCACCCTTGGCGCCAAAGCGGAAGCCCAAGCACACATAGGTACCCCCGTGCAAGACGGGGAGACATTGCACTTGCAATCCTTGCAAACAACAAAGGGTGGCCGGGTGGCCGGGTGGCCTCTGAGCTGCCCTCAAGTTGATCTCAATTGGATCCGCTGAAATTGCATTGTGAACATCATAGCACAGAGGATCCAATATACTGGTGAAACTGAAACAATAATAGTGTATAACTCCCCTCCTGAAACTGCTTAGTCAAGCTCAATGAGCACCAATTACTTGCAACAAATGTCTCACAGACTGAACAGGAGTCTTTGGACGCGGCCAAAGGCTCCAGACTTTTCGCTAGTGTCTTGCTCGCTGAAATGCCTATAGCCCGGTACTAGGCGCAATAAAAGGTTCCTAGAAAAAAGAGTAAGACTCCAGCTCAAATGACCACCGCTCCTGAATTGCTGGGATGATCTAAATCCTCGAAACACTAGGAACTCACAAAATATCAAAAAATACAAATGGATCCAATGGTGATCTGCACAGTGGCCCAAATATGCCCAAATGGGATGCTTTGGCTCAACATCACTCTGCTCCTGGCAGCGCCAGAAACTTCTGGAAGTCCTTCACGCGATGTGGTGCCAAGCCAGTGACGATCCTGAAAAAAGCTGCATCAGATCGGTGGATTTGAGGCGCGGCTTATGCCGGAGAAGATCAAAAAGGAACAAACATAATCAAACACTTCACTTCACCGAAAACCACATCTTCCCTTAACCCACGGCACCGACGGGCGCCTGGCAAGACTGGAACGCCGGCGCAGGGATGGAGAACCACTGCCCTCCGGCAACCTCAGCACAAGTTCGGCTGAGACTCAGAAGGGCTTGGACCAGTGAAGGCTACTTACCAGATCTGCAAAGCTTGCCGAGTGGGAGGCTTGAAGCGTCAAGCGAAGCTGGTGGAGGATCGATAGGCAAGACCCTCGGTATTCTGTTTACAGTACCTTGTCCAAACCGGTGCAAGCAAAACTGGCAAGACCCTCGTCAGTGCAGGCCAGACACATATAATGAAAATGGCTCCATACCTGCAGAAAAGCAAGAGCAATGCCGCAAGGTTGCAAGGTGCAAAACATAGATCTCCATTGGTGTTGTTCAACAACAGCTTGTTGAAATGCGACCACGTTCCGGATCTCTCATCTCTCTCTCTCTCTCACTCTCTAACATATAAACAAAATATTACTGTAAGTACATGGTTTGACTTTCGTGGCACACCATCCGCTATCACCCACGTCGCCTCTTCTAGACGCCAACTCGCCACCCTCGGGGACTTGCCCCAAAACCGGCCTCTTTCACCGTGTCGCTGGAGGCGATGATGGGCGTTTTGGCCTTCAAGACCCATTGGTCTGGAGGTTCCCGCGCCAGTTGGACCTCACGGATTGGGGTGAGCATCTCCAGAAAGGTGGAGGGAAGTGGAAACTGGACCTCGAAGTTTGGTGTACCCCTTCAAAACTGGACCTCGCCAGCTGGATTGAAAAGAAGTGTGTCAAAGCGGTCTCTCGGCTGGGTGGCTGGGTCGACGGATAAGGCGGGTGGAACTGCGAAGTTTGGTGTGTGACTCGGAAGACAAGGGCCAAAACTCCTTCAAATATCTTGCTGAAAGGAATGCATGTGGGTATGCAATCTGCCTGGCTGTGTGAAAGATTCAGATCGATGCTAGATGACATCAGGTCGGCCCATGCAGAAAAGAACAGCTATTCTTTCACATGATGCTTTCACCGAACCACAACGCTTAAGTGCTACTTGAGGTACTGATGGGGACTTTAGTTGTTCGTGGCTTCTTGGAGTCCAATCTAAAGACACGAATAACTGCATCAAACACAAAGTCACTGCCCACTAGTGCCATGAGAGGCGACACGGCCTCCCAACCAGGAGTCTGCAAGGACTTCCTTGTAAAACAGCTGCTACCCCAGGTGCCAAGCAGGCAAGGTCTTTTTGATATGTCATCAGGACTAGTCGTCCTCCAAGCAACACATGCTTCGACTTCAACAATATATGGAGACAGATGGTGTCCCTGGCACTACGGTGCGAAGCTCTTCAAAGGGCCGCTAACAAACCTGGGTCGAAGAGCTAAGGAAAGCACCGAGGAAACCGGCTTCCTTCCAGCACCTCCCAAGCGCCTCGCGCAAGCTATCCAGTCCCAAGATCGCATCGGCATGGCCATGCGTCAAGAGGACCGCCTGGACGGTGAAAAGGAGCATGTTGGGTGTTGTTCGACGCCATGACCAGACAAGGTGTACATATGGTAGACCCAAATGACCCGAGCAGAACATGGAAAGCACAGAACAAGTTCACCCCTTGGGCCGTTCTTGAAATCTCAGGTCCTCCTGTCACCACCGGTTGGCCTCAAAAAGACCGCCAACAACCCTCAATCACTGAGTGTTGTAAAGTTGTACTCGAATTGAAAACAACTACAGTATTACACATATATTATATATACAGTAATAAAAAGTATTAGGAAAATTTTCTACACGCACAATGACTTTTGTTTCTTGTTTGACATCACTGGTCACTCTCGGGCAAATCCAGTGGATGGCTCTTCAATGCTCTTCATGTGCCACCCAAAAGCTGTGTCCTCACTCTGCACGTCGCTCGAAGCGGTCTGCTCGTCTCCATCGGAAGACCCTGGACGATCATGTAGAGACTTGATATGACCAGCCGACCTCCCTCATCACAAAGTTTTAGACTCCAATTGGGGGAGAGGGTGTTGTTTCTCCAAGAGTCTACCCTTACTCCCCTCCCTCCCCTTCCTATTTCACCGCCAAGTGACGTTGACTCCTTTCACCCCCAGCTTCCGGAAGTGCCTGCGAACAGCCTCACATCGATGTACTGCGGGAATTCCGAGCAGTCCGAAGAAATGGGGTCGATCCTTTTGGGGTCAGTAGTGCATCGCTACTAGGAACAAGTGCATCGCTACTAGGAACAAGTGCATCGCTACTAGGAACAAGTGCCTTACTACTAGTAACAATAAGACTTTAATTAGAATTGCAATTAGGGGTCGATCCTTTTGGGGTCCGTTTTGCTCTTCGGGCGACTTCTATTGCGAACTCTTCTTGGACAGTCGCCGACACGAAGGGCTCCATCCGCAGAGCCGCCTCGCTCCAATTCGGGTGACTTATAAACCAATAGGTGCGGAACACAGAAACGACGAAAGAAATGGGGTCGACCAGTCTCGATGTCCCGAATCTTCGGGTCGGAGTCAGAACGACCGAGTCCGGACCACGTCTCAGGGAGTCTGAAAGGCACGTCCCTCCGAGTCGCTTCTTCGAACGTCTTTCCGCAATCCACCAAGAGATGCTGCGGTTTGGGCTCGCGGACCGTCACCAGCATACCTCAGAGCCCGAATGAGCTCTCATTTGAGCCATTGGAAGAAGATTGCCCTATCTGTGGAGTGGCAAGAAGGTTGGCCAGGTGCTGCAAACAAATCTGTGTTAGTCTGTTGCTATCTTGCATTATGGGACAGATTTGGGCATCACAAATCTATTTCTGGCGCAGTTTGGTGGCCTCAAGAGTGTCACCCCCCATCCTCCAATAAGGTTCACCCATTGCATAGCACTCACTGCTTCGTCCAACAAGGTCCTCCGAGTTTAGTGTTTGGGTAGAATCTGTTCTTCACTGCAAACCTTGACAATGTCGCCACATGCAAACGTTCAACACGATCCACGCCCATGTTGGATCGCCACGTCTGTTTCGTGATCACGCCCGTTGCCAGCTGTTGGTCACCCAGGCACATGGATTGCCGCGGCGGTTTTTGGACTCTGGATTCTCCCAAGCCTGGCGGCGGATCGCGCGGCCATGCGAAGTGAGCGCAATAAACTATCTGGATAACTCCTGTTTGGTCAACTTCTTCAGTGGACTTCACACGGATTTGAGCAAGGACGCTACTAGGGGCTTGTGGCCTTACTAGTAGGAACAAGAAGCTACTAGGGGCTCCTGGCATCGCTACTCGGAGCA